AAACAAAATTATTTGCATCAAGGTCCCATAATGTCTAATGTATATACCAAGTTTGAACAAAATCCATCTGAAAACAGCGGAGAAATGCTTGATTTTTATGATTTTTAACACCAAAATGGCCGCCATTCGGCCATTTTGAATCAGATCGTGAAACAAATTGACGTGCATATGTATAATATCATGTATGATGCATGTGTGAAGTTTGATTGTGTTTGGTCCAGGCATTTCTAAGATACAGGCCGGACGCACGTACAGACGCACGCACGGACACACAGAGGTCAAAACATAAGTCCCCGTTTTTCGGACTGCGTCCGAACGGGGACTAATAAGTTTATTAACAGTATTATTACTAACCATTCTTAACTAATTAAACATGTGGTATGGTATTTGAAAGTGTGTTTTGAAAAAATACAAACTGCATTAATTTGTACTGTGTGATCGTATGTTATTTTACTTGTTACTTTTCTTTTATTAATTTCAACCAAAAATTAATTTGTTATTCCATTACGGTGTAATAAAACTTCATTATTACGTCCTTGAAACCTCTCTGAATCTTACAAATGTTGGCCAGTAAGGAGATAATCATGGTTACAAAAAGTACATCTAGTCCAGTATTCTCGATATGAAAATATTGTTATACATGTAATAATATAATCAAAAATTTTAGTTAACCCCTCCCCCCACTACAAATATTGTAGTTAATTCCTTTTACTTGTATTAACTTTTGAACAGTGTTGCAATTACCATAGGAAGACAGTCACAAATAGAGACTACACAATACAATACACAGATTTGTAAAGATCCTTCTCAATGGTACTCGCAATCCAAAAAAAAAGACAACATCCATAATAGTTACCTTTCCTTCATCATCTTGTAGTTGCAACTGCCCAGAGTCAGCAATTTTCACTTTAGCACCAATGGGAACATGATCAGACCCACTTCTTGGATCATTCAACCACACATAGTCTCCCTGTAAATATTAAAAAATTAAGACAATGTAAAACTTACAATTCTACAAAGGTTGAAGTAGAAGCCAATATATATATTTTTTTCAGAGGTTGCCATAAAAAAAAAAAAAAAAAATAAGTGGCCAGATTTAAAATAAAGATTACTGGTTAAAATTGTGCCATAATTAATGCAAATTTATTTTTGCATAATTTTTTTTTGATTTATTGGTTGGAAATCAATCCTAAAATAGAGACAGGAAGTTGCCGACAAATTATCATCTCTGTACAGTAGAGATAAACATGGTGCACGTCTTGTGATGTCACAACATAAAATCACAGTTTTTGTCTACACCTTGTTTTTATTACGAGTATCTTGATAGATTTACAATGTTTGTGTGCAGTTTAAAAATGAGACAGGCATTTATTCTAAGTTCTGAATGCACACTTTTTTCTAACAAATCATCATACCAGAATGATGCATACATTTACCACATCATGTTGGCCAGTGCTGTAACAACCTAGATCTAAACATCCCCAAACAAATAATTGCTGGTACTCAACTCTTGAAAACTTTCCAACCTATTGCAATAATTTCATGAACAAAATCACTGCTTACAATTGGAGAAAATAGCAATTCGTTGTCGTCACTGAGGCTTTTCCAACAAATTCCATCTTTCGAATCGACCTCAATTTTCTTGATTCACATTATCACATGTGTCAAATTGTGAGTTGGCACCACATTCACATAAACTTTGCATAACATCTCGTAACCGATAAGACATGATCTAAATTTAGCACACAAAGTAGGGCCATTACGCAAACAATCATAATAAGATTCAAAACAAAATTACAGGACATACACAACCTGTAAATAGCCTTAGTGCATACTTTTATTTCAAATTTTAATAGCAAGGGTTGACAATGCACTGTTTTTCCAGGAATAGCATAGCCTCGGCTAATTCATAGAACAATAAAATATTGTTACCAGCTCTGCTGTCACTTATTAATAATCATGGAGCAGGGATAAAGCTAAGGAAATCATCACAATAATGTGCATAATCACATTTTTTGCACTAATAATAAATTTACCTAATACACATTTTATATACCATATTTGTTCTATTAGAAGCACAGATAAACCAAAATTTGTCTTTGTCTTAGAATGAATCAAAAAATACAGTATATACAACCTTGGAAAATACAAGAAATATTCCTAATCAAAGATTTACATTACGCACATGACGACTGCTGCTTTAATACTGGTACCGGTATTGTAGATGAATAAGTTTCATTTTTATAACAACGGAATACTATAGAACAAACAGCTTTAATTTTGCAAGTCAAATTCAAGATGAAAATTATAAAATTTCATTGCCAAGAATGAACAGTTTACTGGGTTTTCGTTTTCTTAAATGACATTAAATAAAAAAAATAGTGAAAATTACATTAAAAAAAATTGCTAACTTGTTAATTTGTAAATTAGAGTGCCAGTTTAGTGCCAATGTATAAAACGTCATATAACGCATCAA